GAGAAACATCGACCAGTCTTCCTTCTGAAGATATATAAATGGCTCACGATCTTATTTAGCAACCAACATTTAAGAAAAAGTGAGTTGCTCAAACCATACTAGGAAAGTGTTGGATGTAGAAAAGGTACCATTCACCTGACAAGGCGTCCTCTCACAGAGGGCCTCCTCCAGAGTTTGAAAGGAAACAGTATCAACCAAACTGCACAGCCACCAGAGTTAACTAAAACCCAGTACGTTGGCTTCTAGCTTAAAGTGGGAAATGTAAAATTGGACAAACGCCTATGATCTTTTCTTGGCTGGTTGAACACCCATGACTTAGATGTAGGGTATCCAGTGTTTCATAACTAGGGAATTTCCAGTTTCCAGGGAATTTCCAGTCTTGCTAACGCCTTGTAAGGGGAGGGAGCCGTGGCGGTAGTCATGGGCACCCCTGCCATGTGGTTTTGCTGTAGAGAGAAACTGGACTCAAGTCCAAGTACAGCATGAGCAAATGCGAAGCTGTAGCCTAGGAGCAGGTGGGGCCAGTGGATGGAAAATTACTGAGAGGGAACATCAAGCATAGGAGAGGATTCTGGGTAAACCGACCTAGCAGGCCAGAGTGACCAGACTTTACCCTGGGGATGGTGGAAGAGGAGTGCTGGAGGCTGAGACCAACAAGCAGTTAGCATAATTATGTGAGAAGTCCTGTTAGAAGGCTAATGGACTTTGACATTCAGCAAGGGCCGAAAATCAGCATGATATTGCCCTGCTTTTGGCCGAATGTCTGAAGGCAATCCCCTAACCTGATAGTCCATCATTGTTTACCAAACTTTACCTTTGATATGCCTGGCAGTGTTTCCCAAACTTTTGACATATGTGTACCCCTTCTATAATTTTCTTAACGCTGAGTACCCCTCGTACTCACGAGAATGTAGAATTAGGCGCAGCTAAGCACGGTGCAGTGCATATCCCCACCAAACTCTTCCCATACCCCTGGGGGTACGCGGACCACACTTTGGGAAACACTGGCTAAAGGGAAAATGTGCATTCTAGTAAATAAAAGCTAATGAGTGCTTGCCTTCAGAGAGCCTCTCAGCTAGAGAGTAAGGTCTAGGCCTTGCTCCCCCATGCCTCAAAGTTATATTTCTTGTCTAGTGTATTCATTTGTGTGCAGCCCCTTCTCCAGACCTTGAACCCTAGCCAGACATGGATGTGGTGTTCACAGATGAGGTACCTGATCAGATCTCAAGGGTGGGGAGTTCTTGTTAACCTGACTTAGGAGGATTCTTGCTGAAATTTGGACAATGCAGAGATGAACACAGAAGTCCAAAAGTCAGAACCTACTTGGAAAAAAGTTCAGGGGATCCTGAGTTGAGTTTGACCAATGAGTGAATCTCTGTCAGTATCTAAAAATACTAGCAGTCCGGTGCATTAAAATTTGTGCATTGGGGTGGTGGGGAGGTCCCTCAGCCCAGCCTGCACCCTCTTGCAGTCCAGGAGCCCCTGTGGGAGCACACTGACCACCAGGGGGCAGCTCCAGCCCCGCCTCCCCATTGCCCCTCTGCTATTGCTGTTGATCACTGTCCCCTCCATCTGTCTGTTGGCACCCATCTTGGCTGGCCTCCACTGCACACTGGTTGGCCCGCCCCTCCCCCCCACAACTGGTCGTCCCACCCTTTGGCTTATTTGCATATTAGGCTTTTATTATGTAAGACTAGAGGCCTGGTGCATGAAAATTTATGCACTGGAGTGAGGGGGGTCCCTCAGCCTGGCCTGCCCTCTCTCACAGACCAGGGTAGCCCGCAGGGTAGGAGGTGACCTGGTGATTGGGGAAGGCAACACCCCATCACACCTCTGCTGCTGCCACTGCCAGCAGCGCAAGCCTCAGCCAGCCCTGGTTACCTGAGCCTCGGGCGGCCCTGAGTGGCTGGGCAGCCACCATCCACGCCTTGCCTGTGCCTTGGGCCAGCCCTGGGCAGCTGAGGGGCTGAGGGTGGGTCTGGCCACACCATGCACTTGCCTGGGATGAAAGAACTGGGGGACTCTGGCAGGGGTGAGGGGACTCAGCGCTGCCATCTTGTGGCTATGGGTGCCACCATCTTTGTGATGGCATGACGATCCATTTGCATACTCCCTCTTTATTAGATAGGGTAATGATCAGGATGCTTTGGGCACCAATAATAGAAAGCACACACCACCACCTCACCCAAGCCCATCACACCACCTGCCTGGGATTAAACACTGGAGGCCTGGTTTCCTTCCAGACACCATGAGTGGAATTCAGCTCTGCCCTCTGCTGTGTCTTGTTTTCCACTACATATTGGCATCATCCTCGGGCTGCTGCCAAGGGAGCTGCTGCATTCCGGCATCACAGCCAGATCTGGGCCTGGAGAAGCAGCCGCCCCATCCTGAGGAAGCTCTCCTAGCAGCCTCCCCTCATGTCTCATTGGCCAATGCACCCGCTCTTCAACCAATCCCTGGTCAGAAGCAGGGGACCGCCTGAGAGGCTCGGACCAATCAGGAGACAGGGAGAGAAGGGGATGCCGGCTGCAGGACAGGAGAGGGAAGCCCCGAATATTAGCAATGACTTTCTCTCTGGTTCATTGGAAGATGGATGACTTTTATCCTCTTTTTTTTGAGTCTAAGTTTCTATAATAAATCTATTCTTTAAAAAAAAAAAATTGGAAATGGAACCAAAGTCATTCTTGGGACAGAGAGAGAAGATGCGGCAACTGAAAATTCAGGAAAGCTGGCTTTATGCACAGCCTGGCCCTGCTTACAGTGGCAATGGGGCCGCATTGGAGTCAGTGTTAGTTCAGACACCTGGACACCCCGGGCCACACCGCCCCTCCAGGTGGCTCAAAGTCGAGATTTCTCTCTCTCTCTCCAGCCTGGGGGTTAGGGAAGGTGCTGGGATCTCCTACTATCTGATGTGTGTCAAGGACACATATGCACCCCCATTTGGTGTTCCCTCTTCCTGCAACAGAAATCTCCCCTGGCACTGCCTTCCCCTCCCCATCTCCCCTTTCCTCCCCTCAATCTTAGGCAAACGCTATTTGATAGAACTCCCACGACAATGATAGAAATGTTTTATATCTTCTCTGTAAAATGTCATCGCCACGAGTCACGTGGGGCTATTGAGCATCCGAAAGTGGCTGGTTTGGGGGAACTAAGTTTTTGAAGGCATTGATTTTTAAAAAATATATTTTATTGATTTTTTACAGAGAGGAAGGGAGAGGGACAGAGAGCTAGAAACATCGATCAGCTGCCTCCTGCATACCACCTACCCAGGCTATGCCCGCAACCAAGGTACATGCCCTTGACCGAAATTGAACCTGGGACCTTTCAGTCTGCAGGCTGATGCTCTATCCACTGAGTCAAACTGGTTTCAGCTGAAGGCATAGAATTAAATATATATATATATATATATATATATATATATATATATATATATATATATATATATATAGTTTTGTCTTGTTGTTGTTAATTCTCACCTGAGGATATTTTTCCCGTTGGTTTTTAGGGATAGTGGAAGGAAGGGAGGAGGGAGGGGGAGAGAAAGAGAGAAGCATCACTGTGAAAGAGACACATCGACTGGTTGCCTCCCACACAAACCCCAACCAGGGCCAGGATCGAACCTGCGACCCAGGTATGAGCCCTTGACAGGGAATGGACCCCGAACCCTTTGGTGTGTGAGCCAGTTCTCTAACCACCTAGACACGCCTTCCAGGCTACATTTGTGTTCCAATAGCGATGTGGTATTAGCACAACCCTGGACTCCCCGTCACCGGACTCTGTCCCAACAGACTGACCCCTCCCACTGCTCCAGCCACATGCCCCCTCCCACAGACTGCCCTCCCCCACGGGGCCCAGCTTACCCAGGATTCAGCAGCTTCCTCAAAGCACTGAGAGCCTTTGCTGTTTACACTCACCTCACCCTGCCCTGCCTGCCCACCCCACTCTGCCTCATCCCTTCTCCTACTCCAGCTCTCAGCTGCCGCCTCCTCCAGGAAGCCCTCCCTGCCCCTCAGCTGAGGGAAGCATCCCCTTGGGTTCTCCCAGCCCCCGAGCTCCTCCATCCCAGTGCTGAGCACTTCACACCATCCTTATCTGGAGATGGGTCTGCCCCCTCCTGTTCCCCTCCCCCTCCCCCCCCCACACACACGGGATCCCCACTGTGGACTGAGAGCAGGGCAGGAGTCTCCTGAATCATCACTGTTACCGGCACCACCCAGCGTGGAGCTGGCATAAGGAGTGTGTGTTGAAATGAATGAGTGAATGAATGAATGAATGAATGAGTGAGTGAATGCTTTTGAAAAGCCCTGCTAAGAGCTTTAGAGTGAGCCGGCCACACGTCCAATCCCATCTCCCCTTCCGGAAGACCTGCCACTCTCCTTATCCTCAGTTTCCTCATCTCTAAAATGGGAAAAGTTGCCCTAACCGGTTGGGCTCAGTGGATAGAGCGTCGGCCTGCGGACTGAAGGATCCCGGGTTTGATTCCGGTCAAGGGCACATACCTTGGTTGTGGGCACATCCCCGTGGGGAGTGTGCAAGAGGCAGCTGATTGATGTTTCTCTCTCATCGATGTTTCTGACTATCCATTTCTCTCTGTAAAAAATCAATAAAATGTTTTGTTTTTTTTTAATAAAATGGGAAAGGTTACTCATGGCAGATGTTGAATGAGGCAGTAGTGTGTGTCAGGCCTGGGAAGGGCAGGGGCATTGCTGAACCAGAGGCCACTGTCACTGCCTTATAATCACTGCTCCTGACAGGCTGAGCGGGGAAGGAAACCCCAGCACATTCCCCAGTCTCTGAGGAACAGGTCCAACCGGTGTTTGCACGGGGAGCACAGGGGAAGCTCCGGAGCCTGAGCACACGGTGCAGGGTGCCGGCTTGGCGGCTGCCCCGTGTCTGGGAGGCTCCCCCGGGGTCCTCGCTGAGCTGGTCACTGCAGACGGCCCAGCCCACCCTCCAGCCCCCTCGGTGCCCAGCAGGTGGCACCTCCACAGGACGCCAAGATGGAGATTCCCGCCGGGACCCTGTGCCACTTCTCCAAGGGCCTCCTGCTCTCAGGTAAGGACTCGCACCCCCAACGCCCGGGCGGCCGCTGAGCCTCAGCCCAGGCCGTGGGGTTCCCCCTTGGGAGAAGGGAACGTTGTCAGGGAGGGTGAAAGGGGGAGGAGCAGAGTCACAACCTCGTCACCATTTTATCTAGGGAATGTTCTAGAATATTAGGACCATGAGGGCAGGAATTTATCTATGTGTTCCATTCCCTACTGCGAACCAGGGCCTAGATATCAAGGGAATTTTAGACTTACCGTGTATAATTGGCATTTTAGCATAAATGATGTATGTGCTTATAAGTATTGGTTAGATTAGGCATGTCAAACTCAAAGGCTAACACAAGCCAAATAGACAAGGTTTAATATTTTATTGATTTTTTTACAGAGAGGAAGGAATAGAGATAGAGAGCTAGAAACATCGATGAGAGAGAAACATCAACCAGCCGCCTCCTGCACACCCGTCACTGGGGATGTGCCTGCAACCAAGGTGCATGCCCTTGACCGGGATCGAACCTGGGACCTTTCAGTCTGCAGACCAACGCTCTATCCACTGAGCCAAACCGGTTTCGGCCAAAGCTTCAATTTTTATAGAAACGTAGGTTTATTTCGATGGAGACATGCTGAATATAATACAAAGGGCTGAAATAAATGAGTCGTTGTTAACCTAAAAGAATAGAACATTTTAATAAAAATTAATATTTTTTCTTAAACATGAACATACCAGACACTGAATAACTGCACAAATTAATAAGCATAATGCAAATAAACCTTTTTTTCTTGTTCTCCAAAAGCAAAATATTTCCTGTTGTGCACACCAAACAAGTCAGTCCAAGACTAATGATGTGGCAATTGGGCGCTAAAATATTCGCCGCTGGTGTTAGTGGAGAGAAATGGTGGGCCTGCACGTACGGTGCATAAGGGAAATGAATGCAACACGATTATAGTAATCAGTCATTATCGGACATTGTAGTTCATTATTAATAACTAGTGGCCCAGTGCACAAATTTGTGCACATTGAAAGGAAATTAATTAGAATATTTTAATATCGCTATTCACCCTTTCTTTATAAGTATCAACCAAATTCACGAACGATAATGACAGATCGAAACACACACGTGGGATTGGTGCCAGCAAGAGCTTTACATGTATTGCCAATGTGCGAGTCGACTTAGCCTTTTATAGATATAGAACAAACGTGCTTAATTAGACCTGCTTTCTGACGTAGCTAAACTTTTGCCAGCCCAGTGAAGCACTCCAACATATGTTCCAGGTAGTTGTCAGCAACACAGCAGTAAATATTAACACGAAGCAGGTTATTACTGTAGGTCACGCAGGGAGAACAAAGGGTGAAATATTTGACGGCAGCAGTGTTTGACTATATTCTGCACAGCGAGAAAACCTGAAGTCATTCTCAAGGCCCACCATTTCTTACCTCTTTTCAGTCAGGTCAAGTTTCTAAGTTTTCTAAATCTCAGTTTTCCGGCTAATGAAAATAAAATAGGATTCCACCGAGTCTCCTATCTACCTACTCCAGGACTTCTGTGAGGATCAAATGAGATTAGGCACGGGAAAACGCTTCACAAACATTTGGTTACAGTGTTCCTGGAACTCCAAGGAGGCTAGTTGTTAGGGAGAGAAAGCTGGGTGTTGCCACGTGATGTCATTACCCAGCACCCACAGCGACTGTTTCCAGACTGGGCTATGTATGGGCTGCATTTCACACCATGGGATCTCAGCAGCATTGGCTGTGATTTTATGGGTTGTTGCTCCAGGGTAGTGGCAGGGCCTGTGTCCCACTTGGGGAAAGCCAACTGTTGTTTTGTGAGTGCCAGATCCATGGTGCCATTTCTCTGCGCCTGCATTGAGCATCTGCCCCCTGGTGGTCAGTGTGCATCATAGCAACCAGTCGGAAGGTGGGAAGGACACTTAGCATATTAGCCTTTTATATAGATAGATTATGTATAACAGGATATTGTAAAAATTAAGTTATGACATTTTTATTAAAAGATTTCTTACATACTGTTATATTGGCTGGGCTGCAAATAATATTCAGCCCCTTGCGTCCCACGGGCTGTGAGTTTGACATGCTTGGGTTAGATGAATGAAGTAATGAATTCAGAGACTCCCAGTGCTTAGAAGCAGGCCACACAGCATCTCAGAGCAGAAAACCTCCTGGACCAACAGGATGGCAAATCTGTGGCATCCACACCCAGGTCTCCACTCCGGAACCCAGGGCAGACATTACTAATCAATTCCAGCACTGTTCCCAAAGAGCAACACAGAGAGAGAGAGAGAGAGAGAGAGAGAGAGAGAGAGAGAGAGAGAGAGAGAGAGAGAGAGAGAGCTCTTCCCCTCAGAGGAGGACTAACAGGGCAGAGAATGCTATGGTTCCTGCCCAACACACCTCCCATCTCAGGCCTCCCTGTCACTCCCCGCAGCCTCCGTCCTGGCCCTCTGGGTCCCCCAAGGCTCCTGGGCAGCCCTCCGCATCCAGAAGATCCCGGAGCGACCTCAAAAGGACCAGGACGTCCTCCTGTCTGTCCAGGGCATCCCAGACACCTTCCAGGACTTCATCTGGTACCGGGGGGAGGAGACGGACGGAGGCACAAGGCTGTTCACCTACATCCCGGACCTGCCACGGCCCCAGAGGGATGGCAGCGCCATGGAGCAGCGCGACATCGTGGGCTTCCCCAACGGCTCCATGCTCCTGCGCGACGCCCAGCCCAGGGACAGCGGCACCTACCACGTGGAAGTCCACGTCAATCCCGAGTGGACCATGCGGGCCAAGACGGAGGTCCAGGTGCCCGGTGAGCGCTGGGGTCTGCGGGAGGACGTGGGGAGGCTCCTGGGCCCGGTGCAAACACGTCCTCTATTTAACACACGAGGATGGAGCACTTCCTGCAAGCCAGGCTCTGAAGGCATTTACTCCCCACGGGCATGAGCTGACAAAGCATCTGTTGAAGGACAAACACAGAGACAGACCTGGCGAGGGGACCATCTCACTTACTCCTCACACGCGCTCATTCACAAAACACTTATTGAGCACCTAGGGTATGCCCGGTCCAGAGTGCAATCTTTATACTCATACAGCAAGTGTTTTTTTGTGTTTTTTTTATTAATCCGCTCTGGACAAAGCACAAGAGACAGGGTAGTGGACAGCAGCAGCGGCTGCCATTGCTTGGGGCAGTTACTGTTGTAAACATGCCCTCGGGCAGGGGTGGAGCATGTAGGGCCCAGGGGCTGTAAAGACCCGTGAAACCATTTGGTCCGGCACTGCCAAGGCACTAAGGATGAGTTAATTATTTGACAAAATACAGCAGGCTATTTTTTTTTAATGGGTAGATCTTTTATTCAATATATTTTTATTGATTTCAAAGAGGAGATGTGAAAAAGAGAGAGATAAAAGCATCAATGATGAGAGAGAATCATTGATCGACTGCCTCCTACACGCCCCCCCTACTGGGAGTCGAACCCAAAAACCCAGTTGAATTGAACTGTGACCACCTGGTTCTTAGGTCGAGGCTCAACCGTGCAGCGGGGCGCTGATGTTTCAGTGGATGATTCCGTTCGGCCACAGATGGTGTTAGAAATGTCCCAATGGCCCTTGGGAGAAAAATGGTCCCCACCCTGGCCCTAGTGCACAGCTTCTCAAGCTGGGCACTAGTGACATTTTGAACTGGTTGAGTCTTTTTTTTTTCTTTTTTAATATATTTTATTGATTTTGTACAGAGAGGAAAGGAGAGAGCTAGAGAGCTAGAAACGTCGATGAGAGAGAAACATCGACCAGCTGCCTCTTGCACACCCCCTACCGGGGATGTGCCCGCAACCAACATACATGCCCTTGACCGGAATTGAACCTGGGACCTTTCAGTCCACAGACGGACGCTCTACCCCTGAGCCAAACCGATTTCAGCTGAACTGGTTGATTCTTCAGCGCAGGGGCTCTCCTGTGCCCTGTGGGCCATTGAGCACCATCGCTGGCCTCTCCCCACCAGATGCCAGGAGAACCAAAACTGTCTCCAGACGTTGCCAGGTGTCCCCCAGGGACAAAGTCACCCCAGTTGAGAACCACTGCCCAAGAGGAACTCATTTTTACCTGTAAAAACCTCCATAATATGTTATTGTCGACCTAGCCTGTTTGGCTCAATGAATAGAGCGTCAGCCTACAGACTGAAGGGTCCTGGGTTCGATTCTGGTCAAGGGCACATGCCAGGGTTGTGGGCTCCATCCGCAGTAGGCGGTGTGCAGGAGGCAGCCGATTAATGATTCTCATCATTGATGTTTCTAACTCTCTCTTCCTCTCCCTTCCTCTCTGAAATCAATAAAAATATAATTTTTAAATGTTATATGTCAATTATATTTCAAAGAAGCCGGTGGGGGGGGGGGGGGTAGCCAATAATAAGCAGACTCGATCACTCATCATCTATGTCCCCAAAGTTACCTCTGTGAATTTCATAATGAATTCCAATATATCAGTTCACATGGTGGTCTCCCTGGAGAGTAAGTCTTCAAAATGAGAGAAATAGAACATAGTCATCTTTTTATCATCCAACATCTACCACCGTGTGTGGAACATAATACACTGAGTGGCCAGATTATTATGATCTCTGAATGCCAAAGAGCCACATGTGGCTCAGAGAGCCGCAGTTTGCCGACCACAGGCTTAGGCCACGTGAATGAAGAGTTCTGGTCGGCTTGCATCTGTACTGCTGCCCATCCTGATCCAATCAGCTGTGGCAAGGGCTGGGTCTCTACTGATCGGGGGGAATATGTTAATGAGGCCCAAGGCAGAACTGGGGTTGGGTTCAATCCCTCCAAAAAGCCTGTGAGTTACTATTTTTCCCAAAGTTCATTGCACCCATATGCTCTTCTGTGATGTGACCTTGCCGTTCTCCTGTCCACATGGTGGTGTGGTAGAGGTGCTGGGAGACACCCACATGCCATTCCACCAGCATGAAGACCCTCATTGCAGAGCTAAGGAAGCCAGCCATGAGGAAAAGGTGTGTCTGGACTCTCCTCGGCCGGTTCATCAGAGAGATTCCAGAAGAGTTGGAATGGGGAAGTGAGGAGGAATTACAGCACGCGGCTGCCAACAGAGGAAGGGAGTTGGGGGGGATGCAAGTGGGTTGGTGGGGTGGGCAGCAGGTGGCAGAGCAGGCAGGTCCTGGCCGAGGGGGCTCTGGATACTGTGGGAAGATGGGGCGATTAGTGAGAGGAGGTGGAAGGACAGGCGCTGGGAGTCTCCCTGAGCCAGAACACAGTCGGTCTTGCCCCACCTCCTGAGTCACTCAGGGAAGCCCCTGAGTTTTACCGGCTGTTGTGGGGATTGGGTAAGCTAGAAGGGGAAAAGTGGCTGGTACAGTTTCTGGAAAAGAAAACAGCTTTCTATCCTCTGCCCAAAGTGACCCCCTGGGCCTTGGATTGTACATCTGCAAAACGCGTCTAACTTAGCCATTCCCTGGGGATGGAGACTACTACTGAATGCCCAAATACTAGGCAAGTCTGGGCACAGGCTATCCCCTTCCCCTCATGACAAGAATAAAGTTTAAAATGGGTTTTGAACACTTTGAACAGATAAACTTCTAGGGAGATGAATGAAATATGCAAACATTTATTAATTTGAATATATATATATATAGAGAGAGAGAGAGGGGGGGGGGGGGGCTCTAGTCCATTTGGAAATGACAGTCTTGACCTGCTCCGAGGCTGACATAGCTCATCCCCACCATTCAGGGCTCTGAGGACTCAGCCGTCTCTTAGAAGCCACACAGAGTGGCTATTAGCCCAGGCGGCCCAGGTGTGATCGCTTACCGTGAGCGCTCAGGAAGGCCACTTCACCTCTCTGTGCCTCATCTGTCAATGGCATAGAATCTGCTTTGTTGGAGAATTGAGGCGTGTGTGTGTGTGTGTGTGTGTGTGTGTGTGTGTGTGTGTAAACTCATTCAATCTTCACAACAACCCTATAAGGGAGGTATTCGTATTATCCCCATTTCTCAGATGGGAAAACTGAGGCACAGAAAGGCTGAGCAATCTGCCCACGTTCAACATAGCCAGTAGGAAGCAGGGACTCGAACCCCAGGATTCTGACCTCACAGTCTATGAACTCAGCTGCCCAGAAAGGTCGGAACATAAGTGTCCAACTTGATATTAAAGCCTGGGCCCTCGTGGTGGGTGTTAGAAGTCAGGTAGGCTTTGTCCCAAATCTGGCATGCTGAGTTTGAGAACCCTTCAAGTTGAGTCCCCTATCGTCCCCCCAAAGAGAGAAACATCGATGTGAGAGAGAAACATCAAACAAACATCAAACAAACATCAATTGCCTTCCATACGTGCCCTGTCATGGAATCGAACCCACAGCCTTTCTGAGCCACTAACCTTGCTGACATGTTGGGTTCTCTGTGCAGCGGAATCAACTCAGGTCTGAAAAGCAGGAGAGAGAGAGCCCGGGGTGGGAAGCTGCAGTGACACATCGGTGCTCTACGATCGCTCTCCTCCTCCTCAGAAAAGTCCCCGGAGCTGCCCGCGACACACCTGCCCGCGAGCACGGGGATCATGGCTGCCATCCTCATCGGGTCCCTGGCCGCCGCGTCCCTCCTCATCGGCAGCATTGCCTATCTATACCTGGTGACGAGAGGCAGGAGGGGCCAGAGGCACAGGTACAGGGCCCCGGGCCACTCTGCGTCCCTTCTGTGTCCTCCCCAACCCCCTCTCAACCCATCCCATTAACTGATTCCTCCACAAGGAATCCTCTGGCTCCTACAAAGTCTCATCAAAGCTTGGAACTCCTGAGGTGAGAGGCTCTTTCTGTCTGGTATTAGGCAGAATTCTGCTTTGCAGGGGACTAAACCCTGACGCTTCAACTGGCTTACGGAGACTTAGCAAGTGTTTTGGTCCTACATGAGCTTCAGGTACGGCTGGATCCAGGGACTCAACTTTGTCAGGAAATTCTCCATACATCTCTCAGCTCTGCTTTCCTCTGCGGGGCTTCATTCCCAGGCGTGATGAGAAAGGCCCCGGTGGCTCCAGGTTTATTCCCCTCAGCTCAACGGCTGCAGAGGAAGGACCGGGCAGGTTCAGGGTGCGGGGCCTAAAGGGAAATATTAAGGAAATGATGAGCAGGTGGATGGAGCAGAATTGCTCAGATAGTCTGCATAAATGACTTTGGGGGGAACATTGCTCGTTGACATAAGGTGGAGGCTGGGGAAATTGAGGAAGGGCTGTGTGGCAGGGGATTATGGGGGAAGAGACGTGGGCAGGGACAGAACACGTCCTGGCTCACTCAGAAGCAGGGACCATGGCTCTCTGGGGCCTGGTGGGCTTCCTGGCTCCCCCAGTCCCTACATCGCTGCACTAACCTTGGTTCCTCCCCACGCCCCCAGGATGGTGACCACAGAGAAACTGGAGCTGGGCCCCAGCCACAACACTGGTAAGCTAGGGCCCCATCTTGCTACCTGGGCATTCGTGCCTCCTTCCTCTTCCCCCCCAGCAACAACCCCCTTGCCTTCCCCTACTGGGGGCTTCCCAAACATCTGCCCCACCCACCCTCCCTGGGGCCCCCAGACTCAGCCCACAGATTCTGAGGGCATCGGCACTCACCCAAACCTGTTTGTCTCTTCTGCCACTCCCTGTCCCCAGGCACCCCACCCACCCACCCACCAACAGCCCATCTCCGCTTTTCCCACACCCCACACCCAGCTCCTCGCCTCCCCACCAGCCCTCACTCCTGGCAGCATCCTCTGACCACGTCCCTCGACTCAAAGGCCTCCATGGCTCCCCAGTGCCGGGGGATGCAGTCGGGGCTCCCCAACCTGCCTCTCAAGGACTCCCATACACCAGCCCCCACTGGCTTCCTGGCTTCACCTCTCACCTGTGACATCCCCATCTTCAAACAAACAAGCAAAATAGAACAAATATATACACAACCAGACTCAACAAACCTATTCCAGTTCCTCAAACACGGCAGGTTTGGGCTGACCCAGTGGCTCAGGTGGTTGGAGCGTTGTCCTACACACCAAAATGCTGCAGGTTCGATTCCCGGTCAGGCCACCTACCTAGGTTTTGGGTTCGATCCCTGGTCGCGATGCGTACGAGAGGCAACCAATCAATGAATGTTTCTGTCTCCCTCCCTTCCTCTCTTTAAAATCAATGTAACATGCCGGGCTGTGGGCTCAATCCCCAATGTGGGGCATGCAGGAGGCAGCCAATCAATGATTCTCTCATCAATGATGTTTCTCTCTGAAATCAATTTTAAAAATTAAAAACAAAATAAAAATAAAATCAATGTAACATATCCTGGCGAGGGAGAAGGGGAAAAAAAAAAAAAAAAAAACATGGCAGGTCTCTCACTGTTGGGCCTCTGCATGCACTTCTGTGGCCTGTGCATAGCTCTCACTTCTCTCCCAGTCTCAGATTTCCCTCCTCCAGGAAGCCCTCCCCACACCCCTCCAGGGCAGGTCTGTCCCCCCACTGCGGGCCCGGGCTGCCTCCGTCTCTGCTGGTCCCTGGCACAGGCTGGGCAGGAAGAGGGGTTCGCACCACTGTTGGGTGAATGAATGAATGAATGAATGAATGGGTGCCGACAGCAGCCAAGTGGGCCTGTGGGCCACCGGTCAGCTGTCCCTCCCCTTGTCCTCTGCTCCAGGTGACGACAACATCTATGAGGCGGTGCGGTCTCCGGTCCTCCTGGCATCCCCCCTCCATGGCCCGGGGTCCATGGGTGCCGCCTTGGTGAGCCCCACCTCTCACCCAGCCCGCTCCGCCCTGGCGCCTCCCCTCCGCTGGCTGTGCTGTCCCTCCAGCATCCTTCTTCTTTAAAGGCCAGAGGAGCCCTGGCCGGTGTGGCTCAGTGGATAGAGCGCCGGCCTGCGGACTGAAGGGTCCCGGGTTTGATTCCAGTCAAGGGCACATGCCAGGATTGTGGACTCAATCCCCAGTGGAGGGCATGCAGGATAAAGCCGATCAATGCTTCTCCCTCATCATTGATGTTTCTCTCTCTCCTGCTCCCTTTCTCTCTGAGGCCGAGGGCCGTTTCCCTCTGGTCTCTGCTTCCTGCACGGAGCATAGAGTCCCTTTCCCCTCAGAGGGAGGCTCGGGAAAATAAGAACGAAATGAAGTAAGAGGAGAAAAACCCAAGAAGCTAAGACTGAAAACGTGGAGCCACGCGCTGGCAGGGAGGCTGGCATTATTGGGGGGATGGTCAGGCTGCGGGGAGGCGGTGCCCTCTCACCCATTTCTCAGAGGAGAACACTGAGGCCCAGGGCGGGGCCGTGGGGAAAGAGAACGACACCACCGGGCGGAGAGAGGGGGAGGGGGAGGGGGGAAGTGGGAGGGGGGAGATGCCAGGCCTGGCTCACCTGTGTTCTTCCTTCACAGCCCCCGCCCCTGCAGCCTCCGCCCCTGCAGCCCCCGCCCCCACCATCGCAGCCACCTCAGCCGGAGGACCACCACTACCAGGTGCGAGGCGGGGAGGTAGGAGGGTGGGGGGACCCCGTGGAGCTGGTGCAGAGGGTCAGGAAGACCCAGGGGCACACAGCAGTCAAGGCCCATCCCTCTGCCAGGGTCTCAATCCCTTCAGACCTCCCACCCCCACCCCCATCTGCCCCTGGGTCTCTGTCTCCCTCTCTGTGCCTGAGTCTGTCTGCACATCCCTGGGTATGTCTCCCTCCCCCCCCCCCCCCGCTCCCTCCCTCCCTCCCACCCTCCCTCCTTCCCTCCTTTTATCTTTCTCTCAACTCTCTATCTCCTCACACCTCTTGTTTCTCTGTGTCCTCTCATCCTTCTCTGAATCTTTCTCTCTCATTCATCATCTATGTCGCCTCCTCCCTTGAAGGAAGACAGGCTGGTGCTAGTTCAGGGTCTTGAGCTTCTTATTGATAGGTTTGGAGCAGGTCAAACACTTTTTCTGGCTCTCCCGGTCCCTCCATGTCTCTAAGCCTCTTTCCGTCTCAGCTGCCATCCTCTGTATGGGTGTGTCTCCCGCTGTGTCTCCCAGCCTCTAGCTGGTTCTTCTGTCTCCCCCGACTCTCACCCCAACAACAATCCCCTCTCTCTCTCTTTCCCCAGGACCTGCTGAACCCCGACCCTGCCCCTTACTGCCAGCTGGTGCCAACCCCCTGAAGGGTCCCCGCCAGGCCTCCCCAGGGACCGGGCAGGACCAGGCCGGTGCCCAGCGGGGACAGGAGACCTGCAGCGCCCCTCCTCTCGCCCAGCCTCTGCGAGTGCCACCCGCCCATCACCTGGCCCTCCAGCAGCCTGGCCTAAGCCCTGGGCTGGGACAGGGGTCGGCAAACTCATTCGTCAACAGAGCCAAATATCAACAGCACAACGATTGGAATTTCTTTGGAGAGCCACATTTTTTAAACTTAACCTTCTTCTAACGCCACTTCTTCAACATAGACTCGCCCAGGCCGTGGTATTTTGTGGAAGAGCCACACTCAAGGGGCCAAAGAGCCGATTGTGGCTCGTGAGCCACAGTTTGCCGACCACTGAGCTGGGAAAAGCAGGCTCTTGCCTACCCCCCCCCCCCTGCTCCTCCACTGGGATATTTGGGGGTGAGGAGGGTGGTCTGGGGCATGCCTCCAGCCAGACCTCCCAGGAGCCCACTTGGGGGGACTCAGGCCTGTCAGCCCACAACGCCCCCCCCACACACACACACACACTTCCTGGTTGCCCTCCCAGCCCCTTCCCCTGGGGGCAGGGCAACCCCCCACCACACGTGCAGGGAGGGCTGGCCTCCCAGGGCTGGGGCCCAGGGGACAGTCCTGGGCAGTGACTAGGGCTGCCTCAGCCCCGCCCTCGCAGGCAGATCTCGGCCCTCTCTAACCCGTCTCTCAGAACCTGGGCCCTGGCCCTCTTCCGCCCGCTGCCCCCACCTTGGGTCTCACCAAATCCCTCAGGGCAGGACTGCCTTCTCTACCCCATCCCATCCCCACTCCCAAATGGGAGCCCGTCTCTGGCCCTTAGTTCACTCATTCATTCACTCATTCATTCAGCAATAAGCAGGCTGTGTGGCCATGCCCAGTTCTGGATCCTGCCGCTCTGGCAGGGAACAAAGGGGAGAAAATGCTCTCCTGGAGGGATGATCTGATAGGAAAGAGATTCTGGAAACTAAGAAACTAACGTAGCCCTAGCTGGTTTGGCTCAGTGGATAGAGCATCGGTCTGCAGATTGAAGGGTCCCAGGTTCGATTCTGGTCAAGGGCACATGCCCAGGTGGCGGGCTGGATCCCCGGTCCCCATGGGGGGCATGCAGGAGGAAGCCGATCGATGATTCTCATCATTGATGTTTCTGTCTCTCTCCCGCTCTCTTCCTCTCTGAAATCAATAAAAATAAAAAAATAAAAAATAAAAACAAAGAAAGAAAGAAAGAAAGAAAGAAAGAAAGAAAGAAAGAAAGAAAGAAAAGCCAGAGCACAACCTTCATCATTTCACTTGTCTGTCTGCTGACACCTTCTATCAGGGGTAGGAAATGATTAAGGAGCGGGATGGGGGGAGGGAGGGAGGGGTATGCCTGGGGGACAGAGAGGGAGACAGGGTGGACAGAGGCTAAAGCAAAGGGAGTAAAAATAATAGGGAGTCTTGCCGTGGGGCCCGGGGGAAGGGGGTGGGGGGGTTGGCAAGGCGCCATGCTGTGCAGCAAAGCAATGCCGGCCACCCACCCGACCCGTCTTGAAATGCGGACCAAGGAGTCTGGGGCTCGCAGGAAAGCCGCCTGGCGCCATGAAGGCGAAGGCCCCCAGGGGGCGGTGTGCCGAGGCGGGGTCCTGAGACCTCTCCAGTCCCCGAAGGCGCACCACCACCCGCCCCGCCAGGAGGGGGAACGTGAGCACCCGTGTTAGGACCCGAAAGACAGTGAACTGTGCCGGGCAGGGCGAAGCCAGAGGGATCTGGTGGAGGTCAGAGTGGTCCTGATGTGTAAAGAACCATCTAAGAGCCGGTTCCTTCCGAAGTTTCCCTCAGGATGGCTGGTGTTGTGGGATCGAACCCTGGGTTCAAAATAAGACCGCCAGAGGCTGATGATTGATTAAAAAAAGCAGGCAAGGATTTATTGAAAAACTGGCCAGGACATCCGCAAGAGCACCACATGCAGGTGAACTCCACATGACCGCACCTTCCAGGGGTAGGCAGTCCTTTTAAAGGTCTAAATTTTCCTTTGTTCTGAATGATAAATTCTAAATGCTGGGAACAGCCCACAGGGTCGTTCCCAGCCACATCCTGCTGGACGCTGGAAGCTGGCCCTATCTTGTGAAAGCAGATAGTACAGAAGCAGAGCTCAGCGGTTAATCTCTAACGGTTATCTACAGGTCCTACCCTTGAAGCTACTCAGTCAGTGGGATTCAATCTCCTGTAGTTCTAATCCCAGGCACAGGAAAATTGCCTTAGCCTCCAGGTGGAGACCTGGAAGCTGAGGTAACTATCCTGTGTTTAATCCGGTGCAGGAGCCAGACTAGATGGGTTAAAATTCAAGCAGCAGTTTGTACCCAAGTATGGTTGCTACCATATTTCAGCTGGCGCTCTCGCAGACACGCAGTTTTATCCGGTAAAGCAAGTGGTTAGAGGTCTTGGGGCCGAAAGGATCTCAACCTATTCTCAAACTTTAAACGGGTGAGAAGCCCGGCTCGGCTCGCCAGCCGGGTGCGGAATGCGGGTGCGTCAGGCTGGGGTGCGGAGCGGGCTGGGCTCCCGCCAAGGCTAACCTAGGCGCCCGGCCAAGGCCCTTCGGAGGCTGTGGGCGCAATCCTCCCACGCCGCGCTCTCTCCTCCCTCCCTTCGCGGGGGAGGGGGAAGAGCGAGGGTGGGGAGCAGGGTCGAGGCTGCGGCGGTGGAGCGGCCCCCCTGGCGGCGTCGGGGAAGGGGAAGACACCTGATGTCTCCCGTGGGGCCTGACACCCGGGGCGCCGGCGGCGGCGACGCGAGCCGGGCCCTTCCCGTGGATGCCCCAGCGGCGGCGGGCGGCCAGTCGCGCCGGGGCGGCGTCACGGGGGTCCCCCCTCCTCCTCCGCCTCCCGGCCGCGCGCGCCGGTCTTCCCCCGCCGGGACCGCACCGGCCGGCACCTAGCAGCCGCCTTGGAACCAGTGCGGACCAGGGCGACCTGACTGTTTAGTTAAAACAAAGCGTTGCCAAGGCCGGGGCGGGGCGGAGGGGGGGGCCATCACTCGGTGACGCAGGTGCCCTCGCTGTGAGCTCGGGGAGGACAGACACCGCCGAGGGGCAGGAGGGCAAAAGCTCGCTCCGCCTTGGTTTTCAGGGCGAACACGGACTGTGAGAGCGGGGCCTCGCGATCCTCACAATCCGGCGCCCCCGTTTGGATAGCCCATCCCCGTGGAGGGTGGCCTGTGGGGCCCGGTTCCGGTCCGTCTTCAGAGAAACGGGGCGCGGCCGGATGTGCCGGTGCCCCTACGCCCGTCACGCAACGCACCTGAGGAACCTGTGGCTCAGCCTCTCACTCTGGCCGGGTCTGGCGGACCACAGCCGCTCCCCCGCTTTGAAAGGCAGCCCTCCCTCACAGGTTGGTCTCCCTCTCCCGCCTCGCTTCCTCCCGGGAGGGGAACGGAGTCCGAGGGGAGGAAGAGGAGGGATACGGCGCCTCCACCCCGCCAGCGCCGCCCGGGCCTTCGGGCCGCGGACTGGGCCGGGGAAGCGGGGAAGATGGCGGCGGGCGCGGCCCCTGTCCCAGGGCCTGGAGGGCCGGCTCCCTCTTTCTTTTCCCCGAAAATCGCGGTGGACCAGCACTCCCGGAAAACGGCAGGCCGCGAGGACATGGGGTCCCTTAGGGAGGCGGGGGTCGACCAGATGCCTCCTCCCCACCCCCTAACTGGGATGTGCCCGCAACCAAGGTACATGCGCTGGACAAACTTAACAAAAGAGGCTTCTTGCCAAAACAGCCCCACCCCGAATTTTTTTTTAAAATATATTTTTATTGATTTTGTACAGAGAGGAAGGGAGAGAGATAGAGAGTTAGAAACATCGATGAGAGAGAGTCATCGATCAGCTGCCTCTTGCACACCCCCTACTGGGGATATGCCCGCAACCAAGGTACATGCCCTTGACCGGAATCGAACCCGGGACCTTTCAGTCCCCAAGCCGACGCTCTATCCATTGAGCCAAACCGGTTTTGGCCCACCCCGAATTCTTTATGTGATAAAGAGACCTGCCACGGTGTATTAGACCCATTGCAATCGCCACTTAACGCTCTACTTAAAGATCTTGCTCCTGTCATCTTCACTTAAACTCTTTCTCCTTTGGAAAGCCCACGATGAATGGAAATGCCGGGGAAGCAAACCATGATCCTCCTCAACCAGACAACCCTGGAATTCCGAATCAGTGGCATGAAGATGTTACTCAGGATCGTCGAGAAGAGCTTGTTCTCGAACTGTAAGATGTGTGCATGTCGTAGTCATAAAGAGTTACCATGTCAGTATGCTTCTACTCTGCCAGGCACTTAACCACGGAGGAATGTTATTATTTTTCTCTAGCCTGGCTCTTGTTGCTAATATGCTTCTGCGCGTGTGGCTCTCTTGCTTCTTAGTTTCTGCTTCTCAAGTTTCTCGTCGTCTCTTTTAGGAGTATCTCAGCTTTAACTATTCTGCCTAGTGACAGTAGTAAATATATTAGTTAAAAGTTACACATGTTATTGTTACTGCTTTTACAAAATTCATAATTTCAAAAGAAAGCCTAGGTCTCCCCTCATTAGAACGTGGCAAGAATTTTTTGTTATCCCTGAGCTTTTGTTATGTTGACAAGTTAAATCTGGTAGGATGTGTTTCTGATCCTCCAATAGTATATATGTCAATAACTTGTGGAATAGTTCGCACTATTTGTTGGAAAGTTTATATATTTCTGCCTCATAAACACTGTCTTATTGAAAGAGTGCTTGTCAGGATAAAGAGGGGAAAGGCAGGTAGAGTAAGAAAATGGAATGCACGCAGTATCAAAAAGATAGAGGCTTGCCAGGACCGGTTTGGCTCAGTGGATAGAGCCTCGGCCTGCGGACTGAAAGGTCCCAGGTTCAATTCCCATCAAGGGCATGTACCTTGGTTGCAGGCACATCCCCAGTGGGGGGGTGTGCAAGAGGCAGCTAGTCGATGTTTCTCTCTCATCGACGTTTCTAACTCTCT